CAGATGAGCTAATGTAGACGGATAAAAGTGATCTACTGTCCTATACAGACAAAATGATCATTAACTGTTAATGGTACTTGTAGGTGTAATCTGTGGTTGAGATCTGGGTTCTCAATTATAAGACTCTCTATATTTTTTATTTGATTTATTTAGTTGTTTTTTTTTTTTATGACAACAAATTATAATTATAAAATAAGCACATTGCTATTTTATATCCCTGCTGCAGTGTTTTCAAAATGTATTATTTCACTACATTTTCTACAGCAAACCTTATGACGTCAGAAAACATGCAGTGTAATGGGGCGTAACGCACCATCTATCGATTTAATGAGACATGTCAGTTTTTCTTACATTTTCCCCTAAATTAAAATTTGCATTAAAAAGATTAATGGGTTAACTATGGTAAACAGAAGCAATTTACAGATAAAAGCATGCAAATAAAGATTAGCCTTTTTTTTTTTTCTTTAATATGCATTTTAGCCGTGGGCTGGCAAGGGACACAGTGTTTCAGAAAGTTAGACCCCAAATTATAATGCGGTTTAATTAAGTTTAATTGCTACAATGAGAAGGAAAACTGCATTATCCAGAGGATACAACTACTCTCAGCTCTGGCTAATATTCAGAAGAGCTGGATTTAAAGGGGACATAAAGTAAGATGTTACTGAAACCGTATACTAACTAACTAACTAATATTGGTAGACTATGTGGTTGTTCGTCTGTCCATCTTGGTATAATAAGAGCCAGTGTTTGGCCTCTACTGATCTGCAAATCAGATTTGCCCAAGTTGAGTTATAGTTGTCCCTGCGTGACAGTCAGATTGATTTTTCTACTCAGTGTGATTGCAGATGTCATTATACACTCAAGGTCAGTTGAGCTGTTATGGACTACAATTCCCATAATTCTCCGCAAGCTCTTGCCTGTCCTATGTAGTAGACGTTTAAATGTCATCAAAATAACACAAATACATAAACTGCTACTACTGTACTTATGTTCAATTTCACTGTATTTAAACTTCAGCCTCATATAGTAGGTTAATACCTCCCCCCTGGTACCTCTCAAAATTCAAAAGAACTCTACTTCTCTTTCTGTATTTAGGAGATTGTTGAGATCAGTAGGGCATGGTTGTCAGCTTGGGAGTGAACGGGCCTGTAATAATCTATAGACAAGTTACATAAATAAATATTTATATTCATATGTATGTTGAATTCTATTTATATAGCAGCAACTGTGTACACACAGCTCAACAAAGACACAATTGAAAAGCATTCAAATGTTGAATTGCATTTGATCTAATTGGTTTCCCTTTTGGAGAAGTGTTTACCTGGCAACCAGTTAAGTGGAAAAAAATAAAAACGTCATTAATCACCAGAGCAATACAAAACAATATCCGAATGCCATGTGGGTGCCATTTTTTGGAATCCGTTTATGTTTTTTTAGTGTATTCTTTTTAATTAAATTGTGCCTTCTATGGGAAATTAGGGCAAGCATCAGATCTTTTTTTTAAGTAACGCAATCTCCCAGTAGTGGTCAGTCAGGAAGATGAGCTTGGCTGCAGCATTCATTATAGACTGAAGAGGGGCGATGCGGGTATCTGGAAGCACGATGAATAGTGATTTGCAATAGTCAAGTTGGAAATTGATGAGCGCATGAAAGTGCCCTAGTTGCATCTTGAGTTAGAAAAGGGCGAATTAGGGCAATATTTTTAAGGTGGGAGTTATAGGATTTGGAGACAGACTGAATGTGAGGCGCAAAGGTAAGACCCAAAAGTAACACTAAGGCAGTGATCCTGAGGGATGGGGTCATAGGTGTCCATTTGAGTTCCAGGTAAATTGATGGAGGAGGACTATTTTTTTTTTTTAATTCTTTATTTTAAAGGTGCATGTCAACATTGCAATGACAATGACAGAAATGAGGTATAGTATACAGTATACAGTATAGGACTGGTTGTTTAACTTGTCACTTGGTTTGCACACATTTTTTGTAATTTTTTTAAACAAGTTGCATTACAGTCTTGTTATGGGTTTCAGCGTGCGCTACCCTTCTGTTTTTCCCAGTTGTTGCTTGCGCTGTTATGTCATCCCTTGGCTGGTTTGTGCCTCCTGGTGTGTTGCGTGGTTACGCTTGGCTGTTGTGGTGTGTGATGCGAGGGGGGCGGCTTTTGCCTTTGGAGAGCTAAGGGTCGCTGCGCTGTGTAAAAAAAAAAAAAATACTTGTCGTGGTATGCTGGGGTTCTGTTGCGTGATGGTGAGTGCCCCTAACACCGGGGGCAGCGGGGGTGGGGGGTGTGGGGGGATTGTCGTGGAGTGGGCCATGTGTTGGCTGGTGAACCCGACCGTGCCTTAAAAGTATGCGCACCTGCATCAGCAGAAACAAATAAAGGCATGTAAAAAACCATTAACCCCTTAAGGACTGGACTGTTTTTGCGATGTTGTACATTTGCGACCAGGCATATTTTTACACTTTTGTGGTGTTTGTGTTTGGCTGTAATTTTCCGCTTTCTCATTTACTGTTCCCATACAAATTATATATTGTTTTTTTCAGGACAAAAGGGGCTTTCTTTACATACCATTATTTATATAATCTCATGTATTTTAATTTAAAAAAAATAAAAAATATGATGAAAAATTGAAAAAAATACATGTTTTTTGACTTTTACTTGAAAAATCTTTTACTCATCTACAAAAGCGAATGAAAAAAACTGCTAAATAGATTCAAAATTTTGTCCTGAGTTTAAAAATACCCAGTGTTTACGTGCTTTTTTGCTTTTTTTTGCATGTTATAGGGCTATAGGTACAAGTAGGATATTGCGGTTTCAAAACATACATTTTTAAAATTTATCAATAGTGACATTGTAACACTATTATCTGTCATAAATCTCTGAATAACACCCCACATGTACATATTTTTTTTAAAGTAGACAACCCAGGGTATTCAATATGGGGTATGTCCAGTCTTTTTTAGTAGCCACTTAGTCGAAAACACTGGCCAAAGTAAGCATTCATATTTGTTTGTGTGTGAAAAAAGTAAAAAAACTAAATTGAACGCTAATTTTGGCCAGTGTTTGTGACCAAGTGGTTACTAAAAAAGACTGGACATACCCCATTTGCAATACCTTGGGTTGTCTTCTTTTGCAAATGGTATGCCATCATGGGGGTAATTCTCATTCCTGGGCTACCATACGCTCTCAAAGGCAAGCAGTAACCAACTTCAGACCATTTTTTTATGTAAAAATATTTGACCCATGTATTTGACCTTGTAACTTTCAAAAATGATATAAAACCTGTACATGGCGGGTACTGTTTTACTCGGGAGACATCGCTGAACACATATATTAGTGTTTAAAAACTGGAAAACGTATCACAACAATTGTATCATCAGTAAAAGTGCTGTTTGTGTGTGAAAAATGCAAAAAAAGTAACTTTCACTGACAATATCATCGCTGTGATATGTTTTACTGTTTTGAATCACTAATATTTGTGTTCAGCGAAGTCTCCCAAGTAAAACAGTACCCCCCATGTACAGGTTTTAGGGTGTCATAGAACGTTACAGGGTAAAATACAGTGCTAGTAAATTGAATTCTCTGGAATTTCGGCCTGGGTTGGCAGGCAGGTCCCTCAAATTGCAATCAATAAAATTACTGAATTATGTAAAAATATTACATAAATACGCACGTAGAATTTAAATATATATGCATATTTATATATTTGAAGTCTAAGTGTATATTTATATAATTATTTATGTAATTTTGTATATGGACGTATGTATATTTCTTATTATTTTTATTTATTTTTATATACATAGATATATATACAAATTCATTCTAAGTGTATTTTGATATAAATATATATATATTAATTTTTAAATACAGTTAGAATAAAATTTCATATAGCTATATAATTTTTTTTTAATTTTTTATTATTATTTAAAAAAAAAATATTTAATTTAAATTACTTATTATTTATATTTTATAATAATATATATATACAATATATATAGTTATTATATATATTATATATATACGTGTGTAATTTAATTATAAGTGTATTTTTATATTAATATAAGTACATATTAATATAAAAATACACTTAGTATGACATTATATATATGATATAGACATATATTATATAGATATAATATATGTCTATATATCATATATACACATATATAATTATTATTATTTTTTTAATTAACACTAACTTTATTTTATTTTTTGATTTTACACATGCAGGGAGACTGCCTGTCAGCACAGGCAGTCCCCCTGCAGGCAGACACATGGACACCTATTGTGACCATGTGATCGCTGTGTTAAGCGATCACATGGCCACAGGGGTCCTAATTTAGTGTGGGGAGACTGTCTGGGCTGCAGGCAGTCTCCCCACACCGGGAGCCACGCTGATCGCCGCCGGGGGAACGACGGCGATCAGGTAAGTAACTCAGACCGTTAGGACGGTTCAGGACCGTCATCGGTCGGCAAGCCAAAAATGCCGATGACGGTCCTGAACCATCCTCGGTCGTGAAGGGGTTAAAGAAACATATGTATCATCTATCATAGAGAACATATCAGCGTCCTCCTTCTATTTCCAAATCGAATGGAGCTGTGTCTGCTGTAGCCAGCAGAGTAGTACAGTTCCCGTCGAGAAGTTGTATTTGTGCTTCTCTGGGATCGAGGTGTGAATGAGTTCGTTGTGGCAGGATCTCCCATTGGGGACGAGGTATTCGTGGCTCCGTTCTTGTGTAAGTCCATGAGTCCCAGTGAGGTTAAAATTGCAGGGATTTCAGTCTCCGACGTGGCTCTATATGTGTTGCCTTTGTGGGTGAACTTTATGATCCTGGGTGCCCCCCAGCGGTATTGTATTCCCACTTGTCTCAGGCGGCTGGTGAGGTTGTACATCGTTTTTCGCCATTGCAGTGTTGCTCTTGTCAGGTCTTGGAAGAAGAGCAGTTGTGCATTCTCGAATGCCAGGGGTGTCTTTCCTTTCACCGCATTCATTATAGTGATTCTATCCTGTGTCGTGGCGCAGCATAGGATGATGTCTCGTGCTTCTGTGGGTGGTGAGTTGGGCCCCGCCGGCAGTCGATATGAGCACTCCAGTGTGATTTTTCGGGCAGCTGCTGGTGGCAGGATTGTGGCCAGGAGCCTCCTTAGAAAATGAGGCCTGTGTGATCGCCGCAGGCGCCTCTCGGAGCTTGATGTGATTGCGGCGCAGGTGGTCCCCTTGGGTGGAGACCTGCACCGCTAGCGCCTGGTGAGCTGTTTGCATTGTGTACAACGTTTCTTTAAGGTGAGTTATCTCGTTGCCTATTGTCGATACACTCTCCTCCACTGCGTGTACTCTGTCCGTATTTTGGCGCACCTCCGCTTTTATAGTGCTTATATCTTTGGCTATTAGGTCTTGGAGCTCGTGCATCCAGCGTTGGAGGTCTTGTTTGGTGGCTAAGTTGTGTTCCCCTATTTCTGTGAGGGCTGGGAGTGTTTTACTTAGTGACCCCTCTGTTTGCATTGCCGGAGCTTGGGCTGGCTGTACAGGCCGCATGGGTGCGGCAATCTTGGGTTGTGTCTGGTGTCGCAGCATCTCCCCGACATCGTGCTGCTTTGCCGGTGAGTTCTGCTGGCCTTTCTGCGTGCAACGTTTCATGGTCATAGGGGTTTCCGCGGTTGCTGCGATGCTCTCCCCCTCGGCTCTCGTGTCGCAATATCCCCGGTAGTCTCAGAGGAGTGTCTCCAGGGAGCGGAGGGTCGGCTGATAGTAGGCCTTGATTTTGCGCTTGGCCTTCCCGGTCTTTGGGGGCTGGAAGAAGGGCATCCGCCTGTTTCCCCTGGTGCCCCGAGTCGGTGAGTGGTTGTGGCTTGGTCGTGTTTCGATCTGTTTTCGAGTTTTTTGCGGTTAACGCTTATTACAGGCAGGAGCCGACAGAGATGGCGTCTGGTCGGGTTCAGTCCCAGGCTCCGCCCCCGAGGAGGACTATTTGATGGGGGAAAGATGAGGGGTTAGATTTTAAAAAGATTATGTTTTACAAAATGGGAAGACATCCAGGCCGAGATGGAAGAGAAACAGTTAGGAGTTATGCGAAATAGCTTTTAAAAGTCGCCAAATTTGTGATTAATAACTTCTCCTCCCTGTTTAGTAGGCTACCAGGGAAAGATGCGGCTCCATTGGTTACATCTAGGCCTTTTACGAGAGGCTGATTTTTATCTACTTTCCATTGAAGTGGCCATAATGAGCAATTTTATCTTGGGTTCTCCTGAGACCTCCTAGGACAGGCCACGAGACTGAAGAAATATTGGAGCTTTTGCAATGTCTTGTAAGGAGTGCTGCATGTTATCCTTGATTAGGTATCAAAAAGACCAGGGGTTTCAGCCCAAGGGTACATTTTACCTCCTACATTTAGTAATTTAAAAAGGAACATCCACCCCGCCTAACCACGCCCTACATAGCACTCATGCTTTTGTATTTTATTTTATGTAAAACCCACTGTCATAAGGAAATCATGGTGGGGACGGAGGGTCAGATAAGGGCCTGACAGACCCCCTTCAATCCCCTCCTAAAACTCCACCCTATAGAATCCCAAATTCTAACCCTAACTTTCTTTGACTTAAATTATGGCACCAAATCTTTGAATTGATTCAGACTTGCATTATACATGCAACCACATGAATACCCCCACACTGTGCTGTATAAATAACTTCCAATATAGTGCATTAAAGTGACACTGTCAGTAAATATGTAACCAGGAGCATAGGCGTGTGCAGCCTAATGCATTAGGGCGTGTACCCTAAAGTACAAACACACAGGGTGCGTGTATATGTATGTATATAAAGATATATATATATATATATATATATATATATATACATATACACACATACATATATATACATACATCAATACACACACACACTCTTGCATGCATACACACATCCACAGACTCGCACTCATATAAATATCAATACAAACAGGCTTGTAAGGTGGTGGTGGGGCTATTAATGTGGGGTGTGGGTCTAGTAAGGTGGGTAGTTGGGCTTGTAAAGTGGTGATGGGGAATGGGACTAATAATGTGGTGGTGGGAAGTGGGGCTAGTAATGTGGTGGTGGGGAGTGGGGCTAGTAATTTGGAAAGTGGGGCTTGTAAGGTGGTGATGGGGAATGGGACTAGTAAGGTGGAGGCTAATAATGTGGGTGGTGGGGTAGTAAGTTGGGGAGTGGGTCTAGTAAGGTGGCAGCTATTAAGGTGGGGAGTGGGGCTCGTAAAGTGGGGGTTGGGAGTGAGTGGGGCTATTAAGGTGGTGGGGATGGGAAATAGGTCTAGTAAGGTGGGGATTGGGGCTAGTAAGGTGGTGGTGGGGAGTGGGGCTAGTAAAATAAAATTAAATTTGTCAAGCACTTACTTTGTTGAGAAAATAATTCAGGGGCACCTGCTTAGTGTCTGGACTTCAATGCTTCTTCAAAGCTTTTGCTGTCACACTGTTGGAGCACCGCCCGCACTCAAGGCCCATCTCTCTAATTAGAGATCCTTCCACAACTTCAGGGAAGACCGTGAAGGCAGAGCACAGCAATGTCACGCTGGTGCGTGCATTGCGCATCATTAGGCTCCTCCTCCACGCTTTGTCTTTCTCCACATCAGGTAGTGCCCTGTCTGCAAGAATGAATATTCCTGCCTGGCGCTTGCTGAATCGCTCTTTTCACCCCTCTCTCTTCAGCGCCACATGCCCCCACCGCTGAGGCACTTGTAGAAGCGCGCATGTTTATCGATGTTTAGCGTCTCTGCGCTCTTCATGGAGATGCTGAACGTTCCAAATAGAGAGGCATTGATTTAATGCATCTCTATGAGAAGAAGCTGATAGGCTCAGTCAGCGCAGCGTTTAACCACAAATCTGTATTCCTAACACTATACAATCCCCACCATTTGCAGTATATTTAAAAAAACAAAAAACGCTTTACTTACATTTTCCCCAGCAGAAGCTCCCTCTGGGGCAGCTAGCTGCTCCTCTCCACATAATGTCATAGCGCAGGCTCCCCCAAACTGCAGATGTTACTGAACTACAACTCCCATGAGTCTCAGCCTTTTTCATTCATAAAATCTTGGGAGTTGTAGTTCAGCAACATCTGTAGGGCCGAAGTTCGGGGAAGCCTGTCATAGAGCATCATTAGGGATCGTAGGTGCATGTGCGACCCACCGCTGATTCTGTGGCAGAGAGTGATGTAATGCGATGATTCTACATGACGGCACTGCACACGCACTCACGACGTCACGGTATGCCTGGGTATGATGGGAGCCAGGAACTTACATGTCCGGCTCTCCTCTCCATAGGATAGCCGCGCTTTCAAACCTTCTAATAAATAATGTATTTTTTTTGTTTTTTGAGGCAAATTAAAGGGGGAGGGATTACAGTGTGCACTGTGACAGCACTGTGACAGCTTTAAGTGGGTGCAGTGGTTATAGTGAGTACAGTGTTCCTTTAATGGGAAAAATATGAAAAGGGATTCCTGGCAGTGTGTGGGATTCATATGCTGCAGGATTTCATGTTTATGACTGATTTGGTTGCCTAGCAGCAGCAGCAGCATTGGAGGCCTGCATACAGGGCAGCACACATTGTGGAGCTCTGACCCTGAGCTGCTGGAATGACCCAGAATAACCCTGGCAGAGGGGCCGGAAGTGCGTCACTCGGCGCTTCACGTCTGACTTCCGGCAAAGATGGCGGCGCGCATGGACTGAGAGGGCAGAGCGGGCGCAGGATGAGAGGTAGCGGCCAGCAAAGCGAGGGAGACCATTCACTGAGATTGTCCCGTGATAGTGGGGGCTGGGCAGACTGTGTACCCCTCCCTGGGGCTCAGTTACCGACATGGCTCCCTGTCTGTGAGACCCCCCTGTGTGCTGGGAATAGACCTCAATATAATATAATAATAATATATAATGGGCACTGACCTAGTGTGACTGTATAGGATATAACATACAGCTTCCATGTCTGCAATATGGCTGTGACCTATTGTGCAGCTGGTGTGACTGTATAGGATATAACATACAGCTTCCATGTCTGCAATATGGCTGTGATATAGTGTGCAGCTGGTGTGACTGTATAGGATATAACATACAGCTTCCATGCCTGCAATATGGCTGTGACATAGTGTGCAGCTGGTGTGACTGTATAGGATATAACATACAGCTTCCATGTCTGCAATATGGCTGTGATATAGTGTGCAGCTGGTGTGACTGTATAGGATATAACACACAGCTTCCATGTCTGCAATATGGCTGTGACCTAGTGTGCAGCTGGTGTGACTGTATAGGATATAACATACAGCTTCCATGTCTGCAATATGGCTGTGATATAGTGTGCAGCTGGTGTGACTGTATAGGACATAACATACAGCTTCCATGTCTGCAATATGGCTGTGATATAGTGTGCAGCTGGTGTGACTGTATAGGATATAACATACAGCTTCCATGTCTGCAATATGGCTGTGACATAGTGTGCAGCTGGTGTGACTGTATAGGATATAACACACAGCTTCCATGTCTGCAATATGGCTGTGACATAGTGTGCAGCTGGTGTGACTGTATGGGATATAACACACAGCTTCCATGTCTGCAATATGGCTGTGACATAGTGTGCAGCTGGTGTGACTGTATGGGATATAACACACAGCTTCTATGTCTGCAATATGGCTGTGATATAGTGTGCAGCTGGTGTGACTGTATAGGATATAACATACAGCTTCCATGTCTGCAATATGGCTGTGATATAGTGTGCAGCTGGTGTGACTGTATGGGATATAACATACAGCTTCCATGTCTGCAATATGGCTGTGATATAGTGTGCAGTTGGTGTGACTGTATAGGATATAACATACAGCTTCCATGTCTGCAATATGGCTGTGATATAGTGTGCAGCTGGTGTGACTGTATAGGATATAACACACAGCTTCCATGTCTGCAATATGGCTTATGATATAGTGTGCAGCTGGTGTGTGACTGTATAGGATATAACACACAGCTTACATGTCTACAATATATGGCTGTGATATAGTGTGCAGCTGAATTGTGACTGCTTATAGGACCTGTATACAGCTTCAATGTCTGCAATATGGCTGTGATATATAGTGTGCAGCTGGTGTGACTGTATAGGATGTAACATACAGCTTCATGTCTACCAATATGGCTGTGATATAGTGTGCAGCTGAATTGTGACTGTATAGGATATAGCACATTACAGCTTCCATGTCTGCAATATAGGCTGTGATATAGTGTGCAGCTGGTGTGACTGTATAGGATATAACATACAGCTTCCATGTCTGCAATATGGCTGTGATATAGTGTGCAGCTGGTGTGACTGTATAGGATATAACATACAGCTTCCATGTCTGCAATATGGCTGTGATATAGTGTGCAGCTGGTGTGACTGTATAGGATATAACATACAGCTTCCATGTCTGCAATATGGCTGTGACATAGTGTCTAGCTGGTGTGACTGTATAGGATATAACATACAGCTTCCATGTCTGCAATATGGCTGTGACATAGTGTGCAGCTGGTGTGACTGTATAGGATATAACACACAGCTTCCATGTCTGCAA